TGGCTACCATGGGACTGCATCTCTTGACGGTGCTCAAGTGTCTTGTGGATCAGACCTTTAGGTCGAAGGCTATGGGTGTAGACTCCTAAAATTCAGCTTAAACATTTATTCACACAAGTTGAAGTGAACTTTGTGTAGAAAACTGAATCATTGAATAGCCAACTTCATTTTATTTTATTCAACCTTCTTTTTACATTCATTCTCTATATTTCTAATATTTACAGGGTAATGATAAAGGACCTCATGTGTCAACATTCATTCATTGATTGATTCTAATTTAAAATACATCAAAAGCTATTTTGTTTAAGCTATTGATTCAATTATTGTATCCTCCTCCTATTTAATCCTTCTTTATTTTTTCCCAACAGTTATTTATTTATTTCAGTGTAACTTTCATACCTAAAAATATAATATAAAGAAGTGACTTTTTATTATTTAACATATTAAATTGTTAAATCTAATTGAATTTCCTAGTTTTAATCATGATGTTATGATCTATTTGTATGTATGAAAATCTTATTAAGATGATAAATTCGCCCCCAAATGCCCTGGTACGGCCGAGAGTGGGGAGATTCCGCTCTCCCTCTCGAAATGCTCTCACATGGCCACGCGTACATAGCCCCTGCCAGGGAAGTCCTACTCACTGCCTTCACGTGGCGGGGGTGTTGTTTACGAAAATGAGAGGATGAAAAGCGAATGTCCGGCACCGGCTTTAACCGGATCCCAAACCACTGGTGCACATGGGCTCCAGTATCCTAAAGGAACAAATGGCGTATGAACCAATCGTTGGTCACCTGCTACCATGGGACTGCATCTCCTTACGATGCTCCACTGCCTTGTGGGTCAGATCTTCAGGTCGAAGGCTCGGGGTGTGGCCCCCTAAGAAAACCCTCTGCTTCGGTTTGGGCACCCGGACAGTATCACAGCCCTCACACATATCAGTTGAGATTTGTGTGGCGCATATGTATTTGGTGCCTCCTTGTACCAATACCTATGTGTTAAAATAAATAAATAAGATGATAAATTCAGTCAGTAACAACGTAGAACTTCGTACGTACATACATCAGTTCGAGTTGCCATACCACATTAGCACAGAGATACAGTTATCGATTCAAATCCCATAGTGGTAAAGGTAGTGAAAGTATAAGTAGAGATAGGGGACATTAAGGTTTGATGATGTTATTTAAGGAGTATAATCAAGTGGAATAAATTTGCAGACAGAAAAAAAGTAGACATGAAGAATTCAAAAGATTAGAGTTTGGGAGAACACAAAGAGTGGATGCACTTGCGCCATTGCAAACGATTTTGAGCCATGTCATTCAAGATTTCTAACCATCGGTTACTATCGTCTCGCGGATCTCAACCAAGTAGTCTACACCTACCAACATGGCTCAGTCCAGTTGTCAGTGACTTTATGGATTTGTGATATGTTTTTATCTGACCGCCCCTACCTTTCTTCCAACCTACTCCTACACTATAAAACATTGCTTTTCTGGGCAGTCGGTGGTTGGGCATAAATTGATTTAAGTTAGACAACTATTTAGAACTTGAAAGCACTAAACATCTGTTTCATCCTAGCATGGAACTCCTTAAACAGCCTATATTCATGAACCTACCAGAGATTGAACTTAGTCGTTTGCTAGAAAGAAACCTGTAGATATGGGGTCTATAATTTCAGAATGAAATCAGTAATATCTTTTGTTAGAAACAATACTATCCGATTTTCTCAATGATTAAATCATCGACAGTTATCAACTGATTATCCTATGTTACAGTATAAATGATAAACGAACTGGAAAATTATGGTCCACTGGTTGATTAAGATAATGATTTTTTTTAGTTTACAACATGACATCGACAAATGATCTCCTCTTTAAATCAATTCCAATGTTGACAGTTTGAACTGCGTATTTAGATTTGAATAAAACTGATATATGCTTCAAGGCGTTCACAGTAACAACATTTCCTGTGTGTGTGTGTTTATGTAAATTAAACTAAACAAGTCTTTTACTTGTGGTAAGTAATCATCTCAAGGTATCTACTTAACTCGGGATTAATTCATGAGGCAACGGTAATAATTGATTGCATTTGGTGATTTTAAAGTATTTCTCCTTAAAATTCTTTCACAATGTAACTTAATTCCATTCAGAAAAAAAGTGTTTACTACTTTGTTAAAGGTTGATGTAGAATTTTAAATAAAACGATCACATCTATTTTAATTAGGTGTTGACTTTGTTGCCCAAAGCGACAGTGGATATTTCACAATTCAACCATTTAGCTCTGACAGTGCAATCTTAGTGAATATAAACAAAAGTGGGGTTGTTTATATAGACGGTACTACCAACAAATTATTGTTTAGAATCTATCTTTATAGTTTAGAAAAGACATCAAGAGCGATCTGGCGGTAGGCGCTATCTTGATGTGGTGGTCGGACCTGCCTATCATGATCATTCAACCAAACTATATTGGCTGAAACACGTGTTCCTTTAGGTCCGACCACGCCCGGCAGATCACTTGGTGAACGTTAAGATCAAAAGTAACACTTGCGGCTAGAAAGCGAAATCGTACTCCCGACCTTGGAGTGGCGTGAAACTATGCTCTGAAATAGTTATTGGAGCTTTTGATGTTAAGACCTTGTGCCTGCTGGCGACGTGATTTTCCCCCCAAATGCCCTGGTACGGCCGAGAGTGGGAAGAGTCCGCTCTCTCGAAATGCTCTCACATGGCTACGCGTATATAGCCTCTGCCAGGGAAGTCCTACTCACTGCCTTCTCGAACCACGGGTGTTGTTTACAAAAGTGAGAGGACGAAAAGCGAATGTCCGGCACCGGCTTTAACCTGACCCCAAACCAATGGTGCACATGGACTCCAGTATCCTGAAGGAACAAATGGCATATGAACCAATCGTTGGTCACCGGTTACCATGGGACTGCATCTCCTCACGATGCTCCACCGCCTTGTGGGTCAGATCTTCAGGTCGAAGGCTCGGGGTGTGGCCCCCTAAGAAAACCACCTGCTTAGGTTTCGGCACCCGGACAGTATCACAGCCCTCACAGATATCAGTTGAGATTTGTGTGGCGCATATGTATTTGGTGCCTCCTTGTACCAATATCTATGTTAAAATAAATAATGTGCCAGATAGCAGTACAACATTAGCAGAGAGAAATGAAATTGTCAGGAAGATCTCAGAGTATTAGAGGTAGTAGTAGAATCAGTGGTAGTACGAAAGAAGTAAATATAAATTAACAAAACAAAAAGGGTTGTGATGATTTTAGAATATCAGGATTTGTGGGAAGACAAAGAATGCATACACTTCTATAACTGTAAACGACTTTGATCCATGTCATCTAAAGTCTCTAACCGTTGGTTACGATGATCACACCGACCTCAACCTGGTATTCTGTTATTATCAGGGTTAAGTTAAATTGCCAGTGACCTCAAAGACTTATGCCATGTTTTGGTTTGGTTGCCTGCTCCTGAACAAGACAATATCACTCGTGGAGGTAGGCGGTGGTCGGGCATACCTAACACATGTCCCAACCACCTCAGTTGAAGAATATTCACTAGCTCTGGTCGATTTTACATCCCTACCTAATGCTCATTCTTAACACAGGCAATTACTTACTCCGTGTCTCCAAAATACGTAAAGAATTCTTTGAAAACACCGATCGAATATTTGTAACATAAAAATATCTTCTATTCTTAATGTCTATGTTTCACACCCATAAAATAGAACAGAGAGAACTGATGCACAGTAAAGTCACTCTTTGATTGACAGATGGATGTCTCACCTACGCCGCAAGTCAGCAAAAGCCAATCTAACCTAAATCTGTATCGAGATCTCATCAGACACCAGACTATCACCACTGATGAGACTCATAAGTGAAGTGGTCTATGCGTTCGTCTACTTCACTTCCTATCATTAATTCAGGTCATGACGCAAACCAATCCTGAAGTAACATTTTTCATTTGCAGGAAGAGAACCGAATTCCAAATATGTTTGCATTGTTGCTTAAGATGGTCAAAAGATTTTGCGTTTTATTAGCGTCTCCATCACACAGAACTACATCATCTTCATATTCTAAGTGAATCATCTTCAGATTAAGTGAAATATGAACGTTTTTCATTGATCATTATTTTTATTTATTTTAACACATAGATATCGATACAAGAAGGCACCAAATACATATGCGCAACACAAATCTCAACTGATATGTGTGAGGGCTGTGATACTGTCCGGGTGCCCAAACCGAAGCAGAGGGTTTTCTTAGAGGGCCACACCCCGAGCCTTCGACCTGAAGATCTGAGAAGGCACCAAATACATTTATTTTAACACATAGATATCGATACAAGAAGGCACCAAATACATATGCGCCACACAAATCTCAACTGATTGTGTGAGGGCTGTGATACTGCCCGGGTGCCCAAACCGAAGCAGGTGGTTTCCTTAAGGGATCATACCCCGAGCCTTCGACCTGAAGATCTGATCCACAAGGCAGTGGAGCATCGTAAGGAGATGCAGTCCCATGGTAGCCGGTGACCAATGATTAGTTCATACGCCATTTGTTCCTTTAGGATACTGGGGCCGATGTGCACCATTGATTTGGGATCCGGTTAAAGCCGGTGCCGGACATTCACTTTTCGTCCTCTCATTTTCGTAAACAACACTGGTTCCACGAGAAGGCAGTGAGTAGGACTTCCCTGACAGAGGCTATATACGCGTAGCCATATGAGAGTATTTCGAGAGAGAGATCGGACTCTTCTCACTCTCGGTCATACCAGGTCATTGGGGGGATTCATTGATCATTAACTCTAAAAGATTTCCAAATGAAACTAACTAACAAAAACCATTAACAACGTACAATCTACTGTATACAACAAACCAATTAAGAAAAATCACATATATTTTTTATAAGTGAATATTTACACTACTTATTATAATAATTAGCAGTATATAAAATATAATAAAAATAATAATAATAATAATGCTATAATAACATACTAGTCTTGTTTATTAATGTATATAACCATTGTAATTCATTATTATTAGTTTCATTAAATTTATTTGGTAAACAATTAAAATTTTCATATTTATTTATAATTAAACGTGTTAAACGTAAATAAAATTCTGGTGAATATGGTAAATAATTCATATAAATTTTAAATTGTTTTAAATAATTAATCCATTTGAATGGTATTGCTGATTCAATTTGTGTACCTTCATGCCATTCATTAAATGATACAATAGTTAAACCAGTTGATTGAATAGAATATATTTTAGAAAATAATTCAATATATGTTATACCAAATTGACGTAATTTAATAGTACCAATATTCCATGGACGTATAGATAGATCATCATAACCTGGACCAATACTTGGATAAAATGATAAATTATATATTTGACATTCTTTTGATATATCATACCATGTATCTGGTGAACTATAAAAAAATCATATAAAGAATAAAATAATAATTAGATAATTATAATTTAAGTAAGATAATTTGATATATATATATATATATAGGATTTTCAGAAAGGGGTTTTGTGAAGATTGTAGTAATTTCAATGATTAAGATGATAAGTCAGATGACCATAGAAAACCTGGAAGCATTGGATAGCCGTTTCGTCCTATTGTGAGACTCCTCAGTGGCAGTGTACATCCACGACATCGCCCCCTGCGGCATTCGAACCCAGGATCGGCACTGAATGGTGTTAATGTCTAATTTTAACTAATCCACGAAATTGCACGACACATCCACCATTGTCTTTAGTGAGTTACTATCTCACAACAGACCTGGTTGAACTCTACTGGTCACTATTTCTCACTAGAACTCCAGGATATACCTCTTGAAGCCAGTCACTAGTGAGCATATGTTGATTAATATCAGAAAAGGTTTTGTGGAGATTGTAGTAATTTCAATGATTAAGATTATGAGTCAGTTGAAATTAGACCACCATGGAAAACCTGGAAGCATTGGACTGCCGTTTCATCCTATTGTGGAACTCTTCAGTGCTTCCAGGTTTTCTATGGTGGTCTGATTTCAACTGACTCATGATCTTAATCATTGACATATGATTTTGATAAAGTTTTATTCTCTAAGATGAATGGTATGGTCATAGAGCTTTCATTGTTCTTTTGAATAACATCATCAGCAACAGAATAACCTTCAGATGGATGGTGTTGTTTAGAAGAACGATAAAAGTTTCATAATCAAACCATCCAACTCAAAGAAAAAATGTCCATTAAAATGGATAACATAGTTTGCATAAAACTAACATCGTTTCCATCCACATCCATCATATTGTTACATTAGTCATGAATGTTTATAACAATGATTCAATGGAAATATATTAGCTGGGACATTTGTTATTTGATGTTTTACAAGAGTTAAACAGTTTGATAACATAGTCATAAGATCTAAAACAGAACATTTTAAGTTTGAAACTATAGTCCTACTACTTGCTTTACTAAAATGTGCCTCCAATATACTACTATTTAAATCAAGTTAAATACTTGATACAGTTACAATTGATTGATCACTGGGTGGTGATCAATGTCATATTTGTCTAGTCCTTATTATTAGTGCTGATCGAATGCTATCAACTATGTTGCAATGTGGCCAACAGTCTAGGTGACTCGACACTGTGTACATTATGTTGAGATTAGATGGTGGTTGGAGGTAGTCGACAGAAAATCATGGACGCGAGTTTCGTGCTACTTAGCACTGGTCAGCAAGGTGTACCTGTAATCTGTAATATTGAGGGAACAGGTGCTCCCTGTCGACTACCTCCAACCACTATCTAATCACACAATAGTGCCAGCACTGTCGAGTCACTTAGACTGGTGACCACATTGCAACATGGTCGATGGCATTCGATCTGCACTAATAATAAGGACTAGACACGAGTGACATTGGTCATCACCAAGTAATCAACCAATTATGAATACATCTCAGTCCTACAGGAGGTCGGTCGCGACCCGGATAGCTCTGTGGTAACGTCTCTGACTGTGACACGGGGTCCAATCCGCCAGGGAGCACCAGTTCCCTCAACATTACAGATTACAGGTACACCTTGCTGACAAGTGCCAAGTAGCACGAAACCCGGGTCGAGGATTTCCTGTCGACTATCTCCAACCACCATCTAATCTCACTTGGTACGGCTTACCAGAATTACTGTAATAATAATAATAACACTTCTATATTGGATTTCTTTCAAACGATGTGTATAATCAATTCTTTTCACGATTTCACATAAAACACTAAGCGATCATAATATATGAATGAATATTCTCCCCTGAGAGATATCTAATCTGAATAAGCTTAATGTACAGAGATATAATAATCTACCTTGAATTAGATATATGGTGACTGCTGTATGTTTACTGATTCTTCTCATATATTATATAATAATATGGGGACAGAATAATTGTACGTGAATTTGTAATGAATCTACTTCTCAATGTTTAATATTTACGCTATATCTGTTGTTTTCCTGTTCATTTTTTTTGCTCTCCCCCAATACCCTAGTACGACCGAGAGTGAGGAGAGTAAGCTCTCTTTCACGAAATGATCTCACATGGCCATATGCATATAACCACTGTCAGGGAAGTTCTACTTACTGCTTTCTCACGGCATTAGTGTTGTTTACAAAAATGCGAACATCGAAATCGAATGTCTGGTGCTTCGGCTGGGTTGATGGATATGAAGAATACACCTAAGACAGTTCAAAAATCATAATTCTAAACCAATGGTGCATATGGGCTTCAGGATCCTGAAGGAATAAATGGCATATGAACCTATTGTTGGTTACCGACTACTATGAGATTGTATCTTCTGACGTTGCTTCACTGCCTTGTGAACTAGACCTCTAAATTAAAAGCTCCGGGTGTAGCTTCATAAGAAAACCACCTGCTTCGGTTTGGGTACCCGGGTAGTATCATAACCCTCAAACAAATCAAATGAGATTCGTGTGGCGTATATGTATTTGGTGCCTTCCTTGTACCAATACCTATGTGTTAAAATAAATAAATAAATACTACCTCCCTTATTCACAGACACTTTTGGTCAAATGTTGTTCCCTATTTTATGATGCGATATGATCTGTTCGGTTTGCATATTAACCCAGTATGTTTAAAATACATGGTTCATATTGCAGAGGCTGAGATTGATGTTCTGGACTTAACTGGCTGGGCTAGGGAGGAAGCGAGACCAATCAAAACTCTAGACTGCTCATACGGGTTTTATGCGTCATTGATCCGGTCGATAATTCACTGTTCTTTAATTGGCGGTAACATTACGTTTAACATGAACAGGGCACACAGGTCACAAGTGATAACAGTTACATAATTCATTATTTACAACAACAACAACAAAAGAAAGAAAGAGTATAGAATGTAAACAATGAATGAAAAGATAATTAGATTACCTGGCTTTTGATATTCCATGACCAACAAAATATGTATAACCACCATTAAATCCTGATTCATACAATATTCTACAATCATTAGTTTCAAGTAATAAACCAATTATATATACATTATACTTTTTATTTCGTATAGTTGTTTCTTTATCATTTGGTTGAAGAATCTAAATACATAACAATAAACAATAAATGATTTGAACAGTGTTAAACTGAATCAATGGAATGTTGATTCTAATTAGATATAGTAAAATAATGGTTCAATTAAAGCTAGACTATCATGGGAACACATGAAAGCACTGGATGGCCGTTTCGTCCTACTATGGGACTCTTCAGCAGCGCGCATTTACAATCTCGTTCATAGGATTCGAACCCAGGACCTTTGGTTTCGCGCGCAAACACTTAATCTCTAGTTTTTATGCCATAAAATGTTATATATGTTAGAGACAATTGAAGGACTGTCAGTTTCGTAGGTAACATACTTGCTAATAAATATGAAGTGTTAGATTACATTCTTAATCATCATTATCAATAATCGAATAAATAAATATTATTTCATATTAATGGTCAAGTTTGAAAATAAAAAAAAAACCACGGTGAATATTTCGACCATGATCGATCGAATTCCAGTCAAAATATCGACAACGAGATAATCCAATCCATGTCTGTTATTAAGTTATGAGTAACATATGTATATCTATATCCCCCTTATTATAAGCTTCATTTTGACCTATAGATTATTACGATACGATTTACTATTCTTAAATTGTACTCAGTTTTATTGATTACAGTCTCCCACATTCACAGCCACTATTTAACTTGATCTTGTATAAATATTATTTCCTATTTTATGATGTGGTCAGTCAGTCAGTCAGTCATTTCCTAATACCCTGCGTCTAACCTCACTATTACTTACCCGGTGATCCCAGCAGATACCCGCAATATTTCTAAGGCACCGGTGGTCAAATACTAGTAACTTACGAATATCTTCTACTCTTAAAGGCCAAGTTATGATGTGGTGCAGTCTGTCTATCTGGTATATAAACCAAATATGCTTGAAGTAAATGATTCACATAGTAGAAGGTGATATTGGCGTTTTGGACTCAACTGAACGGGCTAGACGAACAATGGATCAATACGGACGCTAGGCTGCTCATGCCGGTCGAACGTCATTGCTTTGGTACACTACTAAGATTGAATAATTCGTATTTCGATTAGGGGATCTAAATCACGTGACAAAAAGCCAGCCCTAAAGTCACAACAATGTTAAACTGAGTTAAAACTCATACCTGTTGCACAAGTAAGTAACTATTTAGACTCAGTAACTAGAATGAAAAACGAGATGATGTTTAAAGCAAACTGTACTGGGTTCGAGTCCAGAATAAAAGTCAACACTAAGATGTAAATTTAGTCAAATAAAGAGTCCTACATAAAACGAAACGCGAGTCCTGGATTCCAATGCTACACACGTTCCATTTACTGAATAATAAATATTAGGGTTGTCTAAAAATGTACACAATACCAAAATAAAATTATTATGCGATTAACTTCTAAACATGATTGATTCCCGCCGTTGACTGCAGTAAATTATATTTGTGTAATATCCGAAATTTTGAAGCATGTCAGTTTAGCTACTTTTGCGATTCCTAGTTGATTTTAACATATAATGAAGACGAATTGATATTTGTATCTCATATATATATATAGATCCGTACTTACTTTGTCTATATGCTCTCGATCGATCACGTCAATAACAACGGGATAGTGTTAAAGATGCATATATACTTCACACATACTATTTGGCAGACACACGACGAGAATGAACAGACGAATACATCATGAACTTAACCTAATAAACACTTTAGAATTATTATCTCATAAACTAAAAAGCTGATGCAGCTCCAAATTGATAGATATCTGAGATCACATAAGTAGACATATATAAATAGAAGGTATGCTGATACATAATGTGTTCGTTAGTGGTCGACTTCAAGAAGTAAATCCGGAGTTTTAGCAAGAAGCTGTGACCAGTAGAATTCAACCGAATCAAATGTGAGGCAGTTACCCACCAAGTATATAGGAAGATGATTCCAAGATATTACAAATTGACTAAAGTTGAATAAGCAAGCCGAATGATGTTCCTGCAGTGGTCTAAGGTTAGACGTTTGCGCACGAGACTAGAAGTCCCGGGTTCGATCACCGGTGGCCAAGTCGTTGATGAGCACAGCACAGGGAGAGATAGCAGTTTAGTGCTTACATATTTCCAGTGGTTGGCTCTCGATTAACCCATTAGCTACTGTTGTATGATTTATTATTCAAAATTCGCTGCCATTTTACTAATCATAGTTTCCCCAACTAACAGACACTTGGACTTGATTATGTATAAAATCACTGTCCGAGATGGAAAGTCCCCTGTCGAGGTCGTGTTTGGAAGAAGTATTCGGACAATACTTAATGTTGTGTTGCCATTTAAAACAGTGGATGGGCACAGAAAATCAGTAATTGGGTAGTTTGAATGTGGAAGACAGAGTGTTTGTCAAATCATACCTTGGAACATTCGAAAGGAACTCAGAATTATTGGAAAGAGAATAGGAAAAGTTTTGTACAAAGTACGTGAAGCATTCAGAACGTGGGTCAAACATAAAGACCAAATCCATAAACATAAAGAGTAAAGAACATGGAAGATAGGCAAGTCAATCTACAACTGAAAATAATTGAAGAAACTCCAAAGATGGTAAATTCCAAAGTCACCATAAAGAACAAAAGAATGAAGGGTTGGATAAAGAAGACACATTAGAGGATCGGATGCCACTGCAAGCCATTTATCGAGCTGAAATTAGATCTAAAGAATAAGTCTTATTTTTTGAAGGGAAAGTGTTGGGGAAATTGAAAGGATTCCTCCAAAAAGTCCATAGGTGCCCAGAAAACTCTGGGAAACATATTCAATCAGCATTAAATAGAAGCTTCTCAAAAAACATCTGTTAATACGAATACCTGTTAGTTATTATTTGATTCTGTTTATTGTCTAAGTCCATTCAACCCTTATGAATTTATGCAGTATCCCATCTTTTTTATAAACTATAATTAATTCGTCATGTTTTCTGTGTTTCACTAAGTGATATCAATTTGTTACAATGAACTATTTATCCTCATTTCAACTATTTTTCCAAGTCAGTCAGTCAGCTACAACGAAGGACCAGGCACATATATACATCGGTTCAAGTTGCCATACCTCATTAGCACAACAAGATCAACACCAGATTCATAGAAGTAGTTGATTCAGTGGTGGAAATATATATAGAAGAAAGATTGCATACAAGGATGTGGTGCAAGAAGAAAGATTGAGCGATTTTAATCTCATAATTTAAAGGAAGACAGAGAGTGTATACACCTACACTATTGTGGTCGATTCTGAGTCATGTCACTCAGAGTCTCCAATCATTGGTCACGTTAGTCACGCGACCCCAACCAAGTAGTTTGCATCTACCAACATGGCTCAAGATCAGAAGTTATTGACTTTATGGATTGGCTCCACGTTTTAGTTTGACCGCCCCTAACTTTCTTCCAACCATCCCCTATACTATTCAGCATTGCACGTCATGGTAATCGGTGTTCAGGCATACGCAACACGTGGTTCAACCATCTCAGTCGATGAAGATTCATAACGTCATCAACTGATTTACCATCATTCGTTGTGTATCTTACTATGTGCTACTCATTGAAATGGGATTTATCTCGAACTCATAACTTACTCTTGAAACATTATGTTTAAACCATTGACGTTGACTTGGACCGATTAGTATTACTTGCTATAATATATTATTATGATTCATTTATTTGAAGGGATCATTTTCCCACTGACTATGTTTTCAACAAAGTCAATACTGTTTGAATAAAATACCAATGGTTAAATTTTTTATCATGATAGGATACATTAGTACTGATCTCATTTGATAGGTTCCGGAAATTGAAGGTATAACTAATTCTACATATATATTGTAAACCACGTTGAAGAAAGGTTTTGTACATAGAATAAGACTGAAAGTTATGAAAGCATCAATAAGGTATATATATATATGTGCATTAATCAACTCACTTTCTTCCATTCTGATGGTTTTATTATATAAGAATCATACACATATACTACTGGTAATAATTTACTATCATGATCATCATCATATTGATTAGTAGAAATATGATAATAAGCTGGATGAGAAGTGTATCCTTTATCATAAATATACTTTAAATCTGAAACAATTGTACTGATATTACGATTTTTATATGGTTCCAAATGTAAACAAATCTAATGAATAAAAAGAAAACAAGAGGATAAACAAGACACTCATTTAATCCCTTTTGGTTATATGATGAAATATAGAACAACTAATGACAAGTTATCCTCTAAGGTTATCCATGATGATCTAGTTTTCAATGGATTTATGATCTCAACTACTAGGATTATTATAATATCAACAAATGTTTAAAATGATTTGATATTGTCCTTAAGAAATGACTTTCATTTTGATTAGATCTATTACAAGAAGGCTCATTTAACTGTAATTATTTACATTAAGAAATATATAGCATTTTAATATAGACTCAATCAGTGATGTACAAGTGTAAATGGTTTTGAAAACTATTTCTAGTAAGATCAATATAACCTGAATCTATGTGTTTCGAATACTTCATTTAAGAACCATTCTAGTTATTCAACGGAGGAGTGTTTGAAATACATTCGTCTATTTACATTTAAATCGAAATCGGTATTGCTTATCAATATAACGTTATAAGTAGTAGTAGTAGTAGTGTGGTGTATGCTACTTGTCTGTCGATATAAGTAGTTTGTAAAACCAATTAGAAGTAGAATGCATGGCAGCGGAAGGTTGAGAAGATCGAATTGAAGAGAAATGGAATTTAAACAGAGAGTAATTGTTATAATGACATGAATGAAAAAACAATGAAAGTGACAATTTATAGATAATATGTAAATGAAGTATTTAATATATAGTTTTCATACTTTACGATCAATAGGTTATCCCTAACTGAGTTCTCATTCCCTTCAGAAGTAATTTCATTATTATTCAGTGTTTTCTATCATCTCTTAAAGAAGTTCAAATAATTACGCGATAAACCTTTTGTTGTGTTCTATATGTTTTCCACTTTAATAAAGTTTGACTGTTATGTAATCATTGCAAGAAATATACACAGTGTTTCATTGTATGTATTTAAGTAGTATGAAACTGATTAGTAAATGAATGTGTATAAAGCTTTTCATTTTTACTATAAAGTCAGGAATGTAAAACTAACCTTTATTCGTTTCTTGCATAAACATATAATTAAAAAAAAATAATTCATCTATTATTCGACAACAAACCCACGTGTTCCTTATGCCTGAACACTGATTACCACGACGTGCAATGCTGAATAGTATAGGAGATAGTTGGAAGAAAGTTAGGGGCAGCGCAATCAAAACGTCTCATCAGTGCATGAAGACACTAACTTCTAGTGTTAGTCACGTTGGTAGATACAGACTACTTAGTTTGGGTCCGTGTGACTATCATAACCAATGATTGGAGACTCTGAGTGATATAGCTCAGAATCGATCGCAATGGCGTCGGTGTATACACTCTCTATCTTCCTTTAAACTATCAGATTAAAATCCCTTCATATCTTTTTTTTGACGAACTAAATCTTTCTTCCTGTACTATCCTCCTTATATGCGATCTTTCGTATATATGTATATATATTACTACCATTAAAGTAACTACTTCTATGAATCCGGTGTTCATCTTGTTGTACTAATGTGGTATGGCAACTTGGACGGATGCATATACATATAGATGCCTGGACCTACATTGTAACTAACTCATTGAATTACTCAAATCAAAGTAGATGAAACAGAATTCCTTATGAAAGTTTAAATTCATATAGTTTGATTAAAAATAGCATACTAGATATTATGATAGATAACTTTCATTCTTTATTGATAAACTTTTTAAACAAAAAGAATTTATGTATTCACTTTTTTTCATATTAAATTAAACCGCCATTAGAATAACATACATAGATATATTCATAAGATTTTTCAATATTTTATGAAAATACAAAAAAAACAAAATGTTTACTCTCAACAACAACTATATTCTAATGACCTTGAAAAAATATCCGGTAAACATTGAACTGTAATAATATTTTATCATTCTCTCTCGCGCGCTCTCTCTCTATATATATATTTTTGTATTTTTATTTCATAATTTACCTTGGATACAACAGGAAAATATGAAAATTACGTAATTTGTTTGTATATTTCTGGATTTATTATTATTTTTTTAAAGTAAAATTATTTTCAGAAGGGGTTTTGTGGAGATTGTAGTAATTTCAATGATTAAGATCATGAGTCAGTTGAAGCTAGACCACCATGGAAAACCTGGAACAACTGGACTCCTCAGCAGTAAAATTATTTCTTTATTTAGATTTCAAAAGAGATTTTTGTTTGTTTGTTTTTTTTTCGTTTTAATAGTTAAGATCATGAGATGATTGAAGGTAGACTGCTAAAGAAAACCTGGAAGCATAGAATGGATGATAGATGTGTTCCTTAATTTCGTGTATTAATTGAATTTAGATATTAACACTGTTGGATACTGGTTAGTTCAGTGGCTTAGAGATTAAGTATTGACATATGAATCTGATAAGTTCGAATCTTACAAGGTAGAATCGTGAGTGCACACTGATGAGGAGTTACACAGCAGGACGAAATGGCCATGCAGTGCTGATAGGTTTTCTATGGTGGTCTAACTTCAACTGACTCATGATCTTAATCATTGCAATAGATATTTGTTTACAATCGAATTCAAAACGTTCGTTACATCCTATTTATGATTCGTCAGTTGGATATATCTCTATCCAAGGTTGATAGTCGAGTTCATAAATAAAACAAAAATAACATGCTGGATTCTTACTATAAATATATACAAGTTTTATTTTAAATTGTTCAATATAATTTAATAGTTGAATTCATAAGTCCATTGAAATTAGATCACCATAGAAAATCTGAAAGCATTAGACGACCGCTTTTGTTCTAGTATGAGATTCTTTAGCAGTGTGTATTCACAATCCCACCTCGGGAGATTCGAACCCAGAAGCTATCAGTCTTGAGAGCGAGCCGGGTGCGAGTGAGTGAGCGCTTAACCTCTAAACTACTGAGCCGGTATCCAGCGGTGTTAATATAGTAACATAAATATAATCTGTATGAATTTTATATTATGACCTTCCTAATTAATATTTTGTTAAGTTTTATTGAAGTAAATAGTTAATTTCATAAAAACTGAACAGTACAATATGACGATTATGATTATTTCAAATTCTATATTACAATGGATACATTCAAGATGTATGTCTATATCTATAGGTGATTAACATTAAGACAAGGTAACATATTGGCTAATTTTCATATCATCGTCATTGAAATCGGTCATTTTTAACGTACTATTACTATCTACATTATATATTGTTACAATAATAATAGTAACAATAATTTTGATAATGTAATGAGATTATTATTTTTTTATTATTTGAACACATAAATATTGGTACAAGGAGGCAACAAACAGATATGCACCACACAAATCTCATTTGATTTGTGTGAGGGATGTGATACTGCCCGGGTGCCCAAACCGAAGAAGGTGGGTTTCTTAGGGGGCCACATCCTGAGCCTTCGACCTGAAGGTCTGATCCACAGGGCAGTGGAGCATCGTAAGGAGATGCAGTCCTATGGTAGTCGGTGACCAACGACTGGTTCATACGCCATTTGTTCCTTCAGGATACTGAAGGCAGCCTTTGAGCACCATTGGTTTGGAATGAGGGTTTTTCAACTTCCCTACGTGGACTTTCCATGTCCACCAACCCGGTCAAAACGCCGAACATTTACTTTTCGTCCTCTCAATTTTGTGAACAACACCCCCGCCACGAGAAAGCAGTGAGTAGGACTTCCCTGACAGAGGCTATATACGCGTGGCCATGTGAGAGCATTTCGAGAGTGGGAGTGGACTCTCTCCACTCTCGATCGTACGAAGGCATTTGAGGGAGAAGTTTGTCAGAATTATGTGATATATTTGCGCAAATACATTTCGAACAACTTGCCATTATCGAAAAGATAGGGTCTATGTTTCTTCAAAAGCCCAAACAGCACGTAAGTGATTGTGTCACATTTCATTGTGTTTTTCAATTTACATGTATGTGCGGAAACACATACATAGAGAGGAGCAATCATGATTTGCAATTAAGGATGGCTGAACACATACCAAAATAGTTTCAGAAACAAATAGATTGTAATAATGGTCAAATAAGATCACAGGATAGACAGACATTATCTTCCATTATGAAACATTTGATTGAAAATGGTCATAAGGATGATATCAAGTCAGCATTTGTAGTTTTATACAAAAACATTCAAGCACGTATATTAAGGTTTATTGAATTCTTGGCCATACAGAAATTGAAATCCTTTTTATGTATTCAAAAACAATTTGTACTTACACTTAACCTACCCTGGTAATATTGATTTACTATCCAGAGTGGTAATCACATTATTTTTGTGTATTTTATTATCATTATTATTATTTTGTTACGATTTACCTTTAACCTGTCTAGTTGACCTTTTTAATTCTCATATACAAAATGTCTTAACAAGTACGTCATGTGTGATTAGATTGTTTGAAACGCAAATACATCATCACATAACTTTGATGAACTGCAAGGGCCGCATTCCTAAAATTGAAGAACATATGGAACTCAAAACAACAGTCCACCAATATCACAGTCACAATCTTCAATACGAACATCAAGGCAGTTCAACTGTACGGAGCTGAAACATGGAGAACTACCACAACCATCATCAAGAAGGTACAGGTATTTATATATAGCTGTCTACGCAAGATACTCAACATCAGTTGGCCAGATACCATTAGCAACAGCCTTTAGTGAAAGAGAACCAACCAGCTTCCAGCTGAATTGGAATTTAGGAAAAGTAGATAGAAATGAATACGACATACATCGAGGAAATCATCAAACTGAATCACGAGAAAAGCCCTAACTTGGAATCCTGAAGGAAAGCGGAAAAGAGGAAGGCCAAAGAACACATTACGTCGGGAAATAGAACTAGATATGAAAAGGATGAATAAGAACTGGAAAGAGCTAGAAAAGGATTGCCCAAGACAGGGTTAGATGGAGAACACTGGTAAGCGGCCTATGTTCCTTCACGAGGAGTAACAGGAGTAAAATAAGTAAGTAACTCTGATAACCTACATCTTCTCATTACATTATAGATATTTATCAAAGGGACTAATATTTTTTTTCAAAATAATAATTTTATTTCATTTCTCATCTCTTGTTTTATTGTATATTTTATTCAATCTAATTATTATTATGTTTTTCCTTTTTTTTAAAATGAATAAATTCATATATAGATTGACATTGTATACTATAGGTAACTAATTAATTTATGTTACCATAGTTACTAAATATACATTTATCGATCTATTATTGTATGTTTTTTTTAAAGATGAGATTTATTTTTATTTTATAATGAAAATAAAAATAATCAAATGTTTCATTGACATATTTTTCCCTATATTCATCATTCAGGCATTATTGTCATTTATTGAATGTTGAGAGAGAGTGTGCGTATGTAAATAGGTATGTGTGCGCAAGCACGCACGCACATACACACACACGCGCGGGCGTTTCATAGTTGTTAATATAAATTCAATTATCAATGGCTGTTTTTTTTCATTTTGATAAGAACAGAACAGAACAGAACAAAATAAAACAAACAAAGACAATAATAATGAACAAAAAGTTTTATGATTGAATATAATGTATCGAATAGTAACGCCCATTGATGTTTGTTCTCATTAAAATTCTATATTTATTGTTTTGTAATTAATTTAATCGTGTTAGAATGATAATAATAATAATAAGGATACGATACAATTAAAATTTAGATTGAGATCATGAACTGATTGATGATTAGACCATCATTGAAAACCTGGAAGCATTGAACGGCCGTTTCGTCCTATTGTGGGACTCCGTCCAGCGCTTCCAGGTTTTCATTGGTGGTCTAATCATCAATCGGTTCATGATCTCAATCAAAAACTTACTAATCTTCACAACTCCTAAAAAAAATAAAATTTACATAATGGGAAAACAACATTAGTCGATAGTTTGCTATGGAATTCAAAAACATTTGTTTCGTCCTATTTAAGACTCATCAATTGAATGTATTTGTATTTAGTGTTAATATAAGGCTTAGCTGGCAAGTTAGAAATAAGATGAAAAGAGCATGCTGGATTCTCACCCACGAATAATCAATATTTTCACATAAAGATGGAGAAATTGAGATGGTGGAAAAGATTTGTAACTCAGGTGGATGATTTTTGATGGAGTTTTATTCTCTGATTTGAATGGTTTGGTGGTGGATGAAACCTCTACGACCATCTAGCTCAGAGTACAAAACTCCAACAAAATGACAGACAAATTAGTCGATTGTAATGCTATACAAACGTTTTTTATGCTCTGCAGTTACTACACTTGGTATTGTTTTGCTTGTATCTTCCCATTGATCAATTGCAGTCTTAAACCTCAATGGGAAGATACAAGCAAAATAATACTAAGTGAATTTAAATTCACCCCATTGCACAAGCAAGTAGCTATCAGGACTCAGGAACTGAGTGAATAACGCGATGGTGTTTGAAGAGTATGGTACTGGGTCCGAGTCCCAGAGTGAACATCAACACTGAGATGCATGTACAACCAGCTGACGAGTCCCAAGTAGGACGAAATGCTCGTCCTGGATTCCACTGCTAGCCACTATTCATCTTTGCTTATCTACAGTTACTTGTTATCGATTGGAGACTTCTAAAGATAGAGTTCAAGATCGATCGATCAAAGCTACAGAAATACAAGGAGCAAGTTTATTCAAAGCCCATCACATCATTATCGCCCATTGATAGTTAAAACCAATGTTATATTTTAGTGCTAAATAGTGAGATTAGTTGATTGATACACAAAACGAACAAATAAGAAGTCTTACCGTTTACAAGAAAATGGTTTAAACCATGATAACAACCAGTAACCTTCGTTAGTCCTGTCAACTTACTTTATCCAGTTGAAATATATCATAAGTCAAAATATTGAATACTGATAACAATTTTGTATAACTAAGGAAACAATCAAAAGAACTTAATCGGTCAACACTGCATAAACATAAGTTAGGCACTACTTAATGATCGATCAATTACAGGAGTTCAGTCACCTTAAAGCAGCAATTCACTTAAGGTTACAGAGATACCTTTCTGATAAGTGCCAAATAGCATGAAACCTGGGTCTATAATTCCTTCAACCACTTAATAAATCAATAGAACTTCTATTGTAATAAAAGTAGATAAGGAATTTTTTTAAAAAAAGAATAACTGATTAAGTTCAATATAAGTAGTTATATATACAAACTAATAACATACTTTTATACTATATTTATTAGCTATGTTTAATAGTGGGAATATTATATCATCCACAGGTTTTCCGTTATCATCTGACATACCCTTTGGATACCATGACACAACTAAGACACCTGAAAAGAGAGAAAACATAAATATTATTTCATTGGAAAATGATGGAAAAACAAATAGATATTTGCTATATTAAAATTCTGGCTAGTTGTAGAATCCAGAACTTTAATTTGGCCCTGTTATAGATACGTTAACTAGATAAATTTAGATCTATATTGTGATCATATCAAGATTTAAACACAGTACATATTACTTTCAATGTCAAACGTGTGTTTAAGTCCTTCAATAAACATAAACATTGAAATGTGATTGAATCCAACCGACGACAATCTCAAATAGAATGAAACGCATGTCCTGAATTCCAATCAACGTTCCTAAAAGTAATCCCTAAAGAATATATATGTCACTGGTTGAAATCATGAATCCATTGAAGCTAGACCACCATGGAAAACCTGGAAGCACTGCTGAGGAGTCCCATACTAGGACGAAACGGCCGTCCAGTGCTTCCAGGTTTTCCATGGTGGTCTAGCTTCAATGGATTCATGATTTCAACCAGTGAAATTTCTAAAATCTCCACACAATCCCTTCTGAGAATATATATGTGTCAATAAAGACTGATAAAATGAGGTCCTCAATATCAACATCACGAAAACTTATTCCCTTAAATAATTATCTATTATACAATACGAATTTTCGTGCAACGATATGGAATTGTTTCATCTCGTACAAGTTTGAATTACATGGTCACATATTCAAAAACAATTCAAAGAGATCAAATTTCAATACAAACATGATCCATCATCTTAAAGTTGTCATGAATATATATGATCGGATTTGGAGTTACACACACACGCACACACACGTATGGTGTGGTATTGACAATTCAATACACTTATCAACTTAGAATTTAAAACTTAATCATTTTGTTTTAATGACAAAGTTGGTTCTATTAAACGGCAATTGTTAAATGTACAAAATATTTGTCATTAACGTGATCATCTATAAAATTCTTAAGTGAATGATTGACTGATATAATATATGATCTTTAAATAAAAAACTGGCTCAAGTTGCGGAGAGGTGGCGTCTGGCGGGGCGGCGGGTGCTATCGACGGAGAGGAGAAATGGGACGTGCGGCTGCTGGGTGGACTTCGGATGTAGATGGCTCATCAGGCCGGTGGAGCACGGGTTTTAAACGTCCCAGGTGCCGGGTGGAGGTCGGATGTTGGTACCTCGGCAGGCCGACGGAGCTATGGAGGTCAGCGCGCCGCAGACTCGACATTTTGACAGAGGGCGTGGCACAGAATTCAGAAAACAATATTGTTGCACGGCGAGCATGAACCACCGCAAGAACGACTGCTTTAAAGGGGGGACGAGTGTGGTGTGTGCTACTTATCTAGACATAAGTAGTATATGATGTTAGTCGTGAACAGAATGTCTGGCAGCAGAGAGACAAAAAAATCGAACAGTAAAGAATAAAGATAGAATGCAATTTGTATGAAAATGCAAGAACAATGAAGCCTGAATCATTTCGAGACAATTGATGGACATTTTGCAAATTGACCATTTACTATATGGTTGTTAGATTTTACTAACTAGTTCTGTAATTTGTTACCAAATACATTCGATTGTCCGTATTGGTGTTCTTGTTCACTACAAAGTCATTATTGAATACCAGTTGGACAAAAGAAGGAACTCATAAATATTGAAATAAACTATGAGTACAATAACAAAAAGATTTCAATCAATCGATAAAGATCATTCGTTCAAAATGTGAGGTAAAATAAAATGAATTACATTTCCTTTACTGATATGAATTTTAGGTTGTCATATGATAAGGTATGCAATAATCAATTAAAGTTCTCTTTTTAAAAGAAAAAAAAAACAACATTTTAAGTATCCAGTATTCAATAGATTAAACCAATCTCATTCAATTAGTAAACATCTATTGAAGGGGACCTGACAGATCTATGCATTAGTTCAAGTTGCCATATCCCCATTACTATAATGAGACGAAATTATCAAGCCAAATACCAGAGTAATAATGGTATTCACAGTATTATTGGTAATAGAAAAGTAGAGTTATTTGAACAAGCCAAGTGATAATTGAAGAATGCTTAGGGTGCGACTCTTCCTACTCCTAAAGTATTGTTTAGTGGCCTCTATATCTAACTGTAGATTGAAGAATGAAAGTGAGCCAACCCCATTTAACCAAGCCTGAATCGATACTTATAGCCAGATAAAAATAAGTTACAAATATATGATGAACAGGATAAGAAGTGTACATACATACGCTCATATAAAAACAGTTAAGGTTGATAAGTAAATAATTAATAAGGTCAAAATGTAGCTTGAGAAGAATGGATAAATTGGCCTGTCAAGAGGCTAGAATAAGTTAAATTGGCTTAACATAGTAACAGATATTACAATTGTTTATGAACAAGTAAGCGACCAATGCTAAAGTTAAGCATAAATTACTGAATCAAAGTGCTAAATTTAGCTATAAGACTGTTTTATTCCAGTAACTGAGGTGATTAAGAAAGCTACTATATAATGCAGTGCTTACGCCTACATCAACGTGAGGTAGGAACTAGCGTAGAAGTAGGATGAAGAAAGATAAGAACTAGCTATTAACTATGGATTCAAGTACGGGATAACAGACCACTTGCTCGAGTTTCACAGAGAAACATATGGTTGGTGTTTTAAGATGATACGGTGAAAAAAATGGTCACAACGGGACAGATAACAATAATAATGACATCCATTGATCACTAGCATTCTTTTATTTATTTATTTAACGTGCATAAAGTCTAGTAGGACTGGGTTCCGGCAGATAGCTGCCAGTTTAACCTTCCCTAGATACTCTTCCGAAGATCGGAAGAGTTTGAAATCCTCCCACATGGCCACGTGTATACAGCCATTGCTAAGGAAGTCCTACTCTATGCCTTCTCGTGACGGGGTGTTGTTTATGAAATTGAGAGGATGAAAAGCGAATTTTCAGTGATTAAACTGAGCTTGTGTGTACAGAGGATGCACCTGGATGAGTTAGAAAATTCTGATTCCAAACTAACGATGCACATTAGCTTCAGGATCCTGAAGGAACGAATAACGTATAAACGCATTATTTGTCACCGGTTACCACAGGACCTTATCTCCTAACATTGCTCCACTGCCTCGTGAATTAGACCTCTAGGTCAAAATCTTGTGAAGTGGCCCTCTAAGAAAATCACCCGCTTCTGTTTAGGCACCCAGGCATTATCCCATTCCACACACGAATTCAATACTATGTGGCACACATATATTTTGATTCCTCTTTGTACCAGTGTTAATGTATTTATATTAATAATAATAAATAAAGTACAAATGGGCACCAAAGACGGAACACACCACACAAAATATATGTTGAATATAACGTTTACTTTGATTTTCTACTGCTGTTAATATGGTTACCCTTACTTATTTACTTTTCCTTTCGTTGAGCTATACTTATAATATTTATGCAAATTGTGGAGAATTAAACATTAATCAAACTTTAATTACTGGAACTTTTATCTTAGAGATTATTGAACAGTTTAGTCGAACTTAGTCACAGTAACTTCGTGAAATACTTTCAGTCTAAGTTGGGTTTAATGATATTTTTATCTTTATACTTTTAATTTTACCAGAATTCGCTATTAAGTCTTTGGACACATAAAAACGAAGTCATGGAGTTATCAGACTAATATCAGTTGTTTAGGCACAATTTGGTATCTTACGCTTAGGTTTCCACAATAAATCATGCGTATGAATACGCATGACAAATTTGAAAACGACTAAGATAAAAACATTCGCTGTTAAAGTGGTGGGGTTAGGTATTCAGCTTACGGCTTCCAAGTTCCAGGTATAAACCCCAACTCTATCTACTTCGGTTTTGGTAATCGGGTGGTATCACAACTCTCACACTTACAGTATTATGGTTCATACCCATGTACCTGGTGAATGAGTTTATTTAATCTAACTTTAATTAATTAAGTTGTTCATACTCTTACCTATTAAAAGTAATATTGTCTTCTTCATACAACTCAAAAGCGAAACTAAGTTATATACATCCTGAGACCACCGAGTAAGTAATGCAGTTGTTAGTAAACGGGTACTAGGTAAGGATGGTAAATCAGTTGATGAAGCGATGAAACTTCATCAGTTGAGATGACAGAGACATGTGTTACGTTTGCAAACCATCGACTGCCCCGACGAGAGATGGTTTATGGTGTGAGAGTAAGTTGGAAGAAAGCTAGGGGCGGTCAGACTAAAACATGACACAAATCCATCAAGTCACTGATAAGTGGACTGAGTAATGTTGGTAGATGTATACCATCTGGTTGAGATCCGCGAGACGATAGCAACCGATGATTAGAGATCTTGAATGTGACATGGCTCAAAGTCGTTTGCAAACGTTTGGCGCAGGTGCATCCACTCTTTGTGTTCTCTCAAATTCTGATCTTCTGAATTATTCTTGTCCCTTTCTGTTTCTCTTTCCAAATTTGTTCACTAGATTATACTCCTTGAATAACATCTTCAAACCCTAATGTTTCTGATTACTGCTTATACTTTTACTACCTCTACCAATATGGGATTTGAATCGACAACTGTATCTCTGTGCTAATATGGTACGGCAACTCGAACTAATGTACGTACGTACGAAGTTCCACGTTGTCACTGACAGACTGACTGATTGGTCGAATTACTCAACTTCATCACATCTACACAGATATCATAATCATAATGAAAATCCTGATATATTGATGATATCCCAACAAGTAGTAGATTAAACTTCTAATACTTTACAGTTTAGTGTAAGTTTCTTTTTCAGATAATAAACAACCAAATTGAACCTAAACATCAGAAACAAAGTAGAATATCATCGGCTTAATCACAATAAGTTTAAATATAATAATATTATATTATTCAGGTTAAAAGTGATTCTTTGTGAAATATCAACTTATTTGTGTTTATTTTACTAGATGTGAGAAAATGAGAAGTTTTCTAATGCCAAAAAACAGTTAAATTATGTTTCATTTTACATTATGGTCAGTCAGTCAGTAACAACGTGGAACTTCGTACGTACGTACATAAGTTCAAGTTGCCATACCACATTAGCACAGAGATACAGTTATCGATTCAAATCTCATAGTGGTAGAGGTAGTACGAGTATAAGCAGTAATCGGAAAGATTAAGATTTAAAGATGTTATTCAAGGAGTATAACCCAGTGAAATAAATTCGCGAAGTCAGTCAGTCAGTCAGCTGCAACGTAGGACCAGGCACGTATATGCATCGGTCCAAGTTGCCATACCGCATTAGCACAACAAGATGAACACCGGATTTATAGGAGTAGTTAATTCAGTGGTGGTAATATATAGAAGAAAGATTGCATATAAGGAGATAGTAAAGGAAGAAAGAATTAGTTCCTAGACAGATATGAAGCGATTTTAATCTCTTAATTTAAGGAAGACAGAGAGTGTATACACCGACGCCATTGTGATCGATTCTGAGCCATGTCACCGAGAGTCTCCAACCATTGGTTACGATAGTCACGCGGACCCCAACCAGGCAGTCTGAATCTCCCAACATGGCTCAGACCAGAAGTTAGTGACTTCAAGCACTGATGCCACGTTTTGGTTTGGCCGCCCCTAACTTTCTTCCAATTATCCCCTGCACTAGTCAGCATTGCGCGAAGAGAAAAAAAGGACATGAAGAATTCAGAAGATTAGACTTTGGGAGAACACAAAGGATTGTTGCACCTGTGCCATTGCAAACGATTTTGAATCATGTCGTTCAGGGTTTCTAACCATCGGTTGCTATCATCTCGCGGTCCCAAACCAGGTAATCTACGCCTACCAACATGGCAAATACTAGTCAAGCCTTCTGTATCCGTGCTGAGATTTTGTCACACACCAGACCATAAGGGTTGATGAAACTCTCAAGATAAGTGAAGCGGTCAACACGCTCAACTACTTCACTCCCTATTATTAGCTAGGGTGTCGATGCCACTATGGAACATTCAATGAATCATCGATTTTCAGATTTACTGGTTATGTTGTTGTACTCAACGGTTATTTGAATCTTTCAATTTAAATGGTACGTCCTAATGCCAATGGGATGTTTACTTGAGAAATAATGGACAATCAAGTACTACGCCAAATCCTATAAATTCCCCTACATTTCAGACCATTATTGTCATAAACAGAACAAATCATTTGAAGAAAATAGTAACCGCTCAAGAATCTTAATTTGTACACCAATTTCATAGAACACATTTTTATTTAGCCTAGAAAAATTCAATATGAAATAGAAACCTAATTTATAATTACGAATTGGACATTATTAAGAAATGAACACATAAAACTTTTGTATCGCTTGGTTCAACATATTCCATGTCTGTCTATTCCTGTTGTTAGTTGTAGCTTTTAAGTTCAACGGTCTAGTTGTGAAGTTTTCGTTGTTCATTTGAACAAAATCATTAGCATGTACTTCAAAGAGAAGTGAGCTATAAGAATTTCTATACAGTTGACTTTAAAAAAAAATGGTTTGTGGATGTGAAATTTGGTTGGTTGTTCTCCTAACGGTGTAGTCCATGAACCCTGATCCTGAAGTTGTTTATCTTTCTTCTTATTAGCTGGTAGATTCTCTAATAACATTTATTGTTGTGTGGTTTGTTTTACATTTTGTCATAATGAATTCATTATTAAAATATTTACTAACAGAAAACCTAACAATAAAAACCAAAGATACCAAATATGTTACAAATATATGTAATTAGCTATGATACTGACCATAGTTTAAACTAAATTCATTGTGTTATTTTACTTGTATGTTCTCATTGCAGGTACATCCAGCTGATGAGTCCTAAGTAGAACGAAACGTTAGTCCTTGATTCCACTGCTAGCCCCTATCCACCTTTGCTTAAAAAGCCTGTAACTTAAGGCTAAATCGAGGCAATCCGCGCACCATGCACATATGTTAATAAGGGATTAATAAATTGCAGTCTTAAAAAACAATGGGAAGATTCAAGTAAAACAACACCAAGTGAATTTAAACTTTACCTCATTGCATAAGCAAGTGGCTATTAGGACTCAGAAGCTAAGTAGATAACGCGATGGCGTTTAAAGCGAATGGTACAGGGTTCGTGTCCCGGAGTGAATATCCAGCTGACGAGTCCCAAATAGGACGAAACGTGTGTCCTAGATTCCACTGCTTGCCACTATCCATCTTTCACAATTGATTGATCACTGGATGGTGATCAATGTCGTGTGTGTCAAGTCCTTATTAGTGCGGATCGAATAGACGAGCTCAGTGATGATAACGTCTCTGACTGTGAAGCTGCGTGACACGGGATCGAATCCGTCAGGGAGGATTGGTTCACTCAAGATTACAGGTACACCTTACTGACGAGTGCCAAGTAGCACGAAACCCGGGTCCAAGGTTTCCTGTCGACAACCTCCAACCACTATCTACTATCCATCTTTGCTTAAATAATTTAAACTAATATCAAGTTCTATAAACTTGTTATATGTTATTTCAAATGTATCAACTGTTTGGATTCCAACATATATATGTATTGTATAACAACATATCAGTACTTTATTTTGGGTAAACTGAATAAAAAAACTAGTTTTGTTCTGATTTTTTATGTCAATAGACATTTAAAATTGAGCGAATTGATTGAATGAAGAAAAAAGATTTACGTTTGGAGTCTCATTGTTTATGTTGATTATTTATTTATTTTAACACATAGATATCGGTACAAGAAGGCGTTTCATTTGATTTGTGTGAGGGCTGTGATACTGACCGGGTGACCCAACCGAAAAAGGTGGTTTTCTTAGGGGGCCACACCCCAGGCCTTTGACCTGAAGATCTGATCCACAAAGTAGTGGAGCATCGTAAGGAGATGCAGTCCCATGGTAGCGGGTGACCAACGATTGGTTCATATGCCATTTGTCCCCTCAGGATACTGGATCTAGCCCATGTGTACCATTGGTTTGGGGTCCGATTAAAGCGCCGGACATTCGCTTTTCGTCCTCTCATTTTCGTAAACAACACCCATGGTGCGGGAAGGCAGTGAGTAGGACTTCCCTGGCAGAGGCTATATATGCGTGGCCATGTGAGAGCATTTCGAGAGGGAGAGCGGAATCTCTCCACTCTCGGCCGTACCAGGGCATTTGGGACCATGTTGATTATACAAAGTCAATTGAATTTTTAACTAAAAGAATTTGGAAATAAATTGATTGAAAATTGAAATCCATATAAACAAAAAGAAAAAAAGAGATATATAGGGAATATATAATCAATCAATATTATAAAGACCTACCAATTCCAGCAAATCTAATCATTTTCATATGAATATGAATAATATTCAAATCTTTTGATGAATATGGACCTAATTTTGGATAAAAAGATGATGCTAATAAATATGGTGGATAATGAGGTTCCGTTGAATAACCAATAGCAACTTTAGCATTCCAATGTTTTAAGCGTCGATGATTCCAATGTGTCCAGTTATTATTATTATTATTATTATTATTATTATTATTATTATTCAATGAATTTTGATTTGATAATTTTTGTGGAGCATCATACCATGCATAATAGAATCCATGTACTCGATAACTTAAATTTAATGTTGAATCATCTGATGTTGATTCGATATTATCTAATGGAATATTCCAATCTAGACCAGATTGATTCTAAACAATAGAAATTATTATTGAGAAATTCAGATAATGTCTTTTACATGAAGTTTTTCTTAGAAAAGATAAACGAATTCAGTGTTCAGAATGACAGTTGCGGCTTAAGACGATTAAATGTGGATGGATATGCTTTAGAAATATTTCACTTAACCTAGATGTTACCACGAATAGTAAGGTGTTTGCTATGTCCCAACAAGAATAATGAATGGTAACTTTTAGGATCCATTTGTGGATCAATACTAAACGCATATTTTTATCGTATAATTGTTATGTAACAAAACTATCCATATTCATGTTCCTCTTATTATAAGATTTATTTTGACCTATGAACCATTTTTATACGTTTTACCATTCTTGAATTATGCCCTGTCTATTAATCACTACCTCCCACATTTGGCCAAATTTTGTACAAATGTTATTTTCTATTTTATACTACGTTGTGGTCTGTTTGATTGGTATATAAACTCAGTATGTTTGAAATATAATGATTCATATTGTAGATGCTGAGATTGGAGTTCTGGACTTAACTGGCTGGGCTAGGCGGAAAGTAAGACCAACCAGAACTCTAGGCCGCTCGCACGTGTTTTACGCGTCATTGGTCCGGTCGAAATTCACTGCCCTCTAATCGGCGGTCCCAATATATAACAGTGTTATCTAAATTTATTACAGTAGTGAACTTACAACTCAGGTATTCTCACAATTTATCCTTCTCAGAACAGGTCTCGAAACAGACCTCCACGCCTCAAAATCATCTGCGTTGCATAATTCATAACCCCTTATAACAACGAGTAACGTATTTATTGCACAAAGTACGTGTTCGATCATTTTTAGAATACTGCACTTTTATTCTTAGTGATTGCACAAAGAATAAATTAAGGCTGGAATTTTTTCAGAGACAATTTACACTTTGCATTCTTAGGACTGATTACACAGTCCAGATGTAATAAACTTGGACTGAACCCTCTTTAGAAGAGGAGACTCAAACTTAATATACAGAAACTCCTAGCTACAGCATCTATAACTCTTTTTCATTCGTGAAACAATTACATTCTAAATATTCTCTCCATATGAATTACTTTACCGGTATTTTTATTATTACTTAACTATTTTAAACTGAGGGAAATTGAACACTTTATTAGGCATATTTCTTTGATTTGTACTACGGAAGAATCAAATGAAACATTTAAAAGGAAAACTTGGATGTTACCTTGACCTTCAATAAAAAAACAAAAAAAACTAGCGGTGTTACGTAACTGTTTGCACAACGCTTTTTCTTTGATATGATATTCGGGTTAAAAGATTGATTGAAAATTAAACAGAATGAGGGGAGCATCAACTATGGCACCCTACACTCACCTACAATTCTACCCGCGAAATCAAAACAGAACATTTTGAGTGTCATAATGAATACAGTATCGCTAAATTATTTAGCTCACATTTTTCAATCTAAATAAACTCAGCTGTAGTGTAATAATGATTGAATCCTAACAATGATATTGCCTCTATTTTGACATGGTTTAACTCATTGCATTGTACCTATTCCCAACAAAAAGTTTTCTATATGATCACTCTTTGCTCAAATGAAGAAATTTGGTGAACATGCTAATAACGGTCAAACATTGGGATAGAAAATTAGATTCATAACACAAAATAAAATCGTGTTGATTGAAGGGAGAATAAAAGCTGAGACATTAATTGATCTACAGTAAATCACGAAGCTAGGACTTGAATTGCTTAATGCTAAACTAAGAGACCAATACCGGTAGATTCTATAAATATACGATTGGATAATGTAATGTATTCGGTCACAGTGATAAAAATTCAATTAGTGTTAAAGTTTTAAAACACCATCATATGTGGGCTTATAAATGTTTAAGGAATACCATCTTAGAAGCTTTCATATCTGTTATTGTTTACCAGTACTGAGAAAGGTTTTCAAAGGTTGAGAAATGGTTCATTTATGACATAGGAACATGACATGAAAGAGAGCTTCATAGGACCGGACTACGGAGACTTTTTGATTGGAGTCCCAGAGATGGTACAGCACATTGGCTTAAGGCTTTAACAGACACATCAGTCTAGAAGTCAGTAGAGATCCTGCTGTTATTTTTTTTTGCATTCTTTATAAAATTGATAGGAACTCCTAAAACTGAAAAAAATCCATCTTACTTAAGTTTTTAACTAACCATTAGTTACTTTCTTTTATTGGAATGCCCGTCGTAACGTTATTTCTTCACAATCCTATCTATGTATTTGTGTGTCGCATAGATTATTGTTGCTCAGTAAAACCACATTTTATGTGCATTACATGAATAAATGATAGGTAAGTTATATTAATGATTACTTAGAGTCTTTAGTGATTGGAGCGTTCGACTCTCAACCACAACGTCGCAGCTTGGAACCCCACATAATTTACTCTAGTTTGGATACCCCCAAATGCCCTGGTACGGCCGAGAGTGGATAGAGTCCGCCCACCCTCTCGAAATGCTCTCACATGGCCACGCATATATAGCCTCTGCCAGGGAAGTCCTACTCACTGCCGGGGGTGTTGTTCACGAAATCGAGAGGACAAAAAGCGAATGTTCGGCGCTTTAACTGGGTTAGTGTACATGGAGTATGGCGCATATATATTTGGTGCCCTCTTTTACCAATATCTATGTGTTCAAATAAGTGATAAATAATAAACTAGTTTGGATAACCGGGTAGTATCATTGAAAATAAAATAAGCTGCAGTTAACATTTACTATCAACAGAAGATTTTAGTCATGTTGTGCATGAAAAAAAACCAATTTTAATACCCAAAATTTCAAAAACATTCAACAGAACATTCGAAATTTACCAATAAGTTATTAGGAATTTAATGTTTATTATCACCCTTAAATGAATGAATACAACTAAGTCGATTTGAAAAAAAAAACCTGGAGAGACTATTACATCGATCACAATTTGGAATATCACGAAAAACCAAGGAGCACTGAACAACTGTTTCGCCCCTGTATGACACTCATTAGCAATAAGCATATACAATCTAATCGCGGATCAAAATGATAATCTTCAAGTCTGGTGATAAACACTTAACCATTAAAATTTTAATTATTTATTTACTGTAACACATAGATATCGGTACAAGAAGGCACCAAATATATATGCTCCACACAAATCTCATTTGATTTGTATGAGGGCTGTGATACTGCCCGGATGCCCAAACAGAAGCAGGTGGGTTTCTTAGGGGGGCCACATCCCGAGCCTTCGACCTGACTGTCTGACCCACAAGGCAGTGGGGCATCGTGAGGAGATGCAGTCCCATGGTAGCCGGTGACCAACGACTGGTTCATACGCCATTTGTTCCTTCAGGATAGTGGAACCAGCCCATATGCACCATTGGCTTGGGATCCGGTTAAAGCGCCAGATATTCGGTTTTCGTCCTATCCTTTTCGTAAACAACAACTACTATTAAAAACATTTTACAAATTAAACTAATCTCCATAAAATTCTTTAAACTAGATTCGAGATTTATTCAAATCTTAGACTATATATGAAACATAAAATGGATCCAGTATTTATATATATACATATATACATACATATTCTTTAGACAAACTTACAAAATTGATTGAAATTGGTACCATGTCAGATTGATAAAAAATTGAAAGTTGTCTAAGAAACATTAACATCATTAATAAGGTTAATAAGAATAGTAGAAGTGATCGAATTCGACGCCATGGTAATATATGATAACCCTAAAAATTAAAATATGAAAAGAGTAATAAATAAGGCATAGTAAAATCAATATGATAGTTAATAAGCTATTCATATATATTATATAGAAACTTAATCATACTTTGTAAGTGCACTGATAATATGTAATGATTGTAGTTTTACAATATGAAAATGTTATTTATCTTATTTGAATCATTACATAATACAGTAATTCTAAACGAGAATTAATCATTTCAATTTTCTTAAGAGAATATACTTCTGTATTCGATTCTTGATAATCTTAACAATAAGATAGAAATTTTAACCATTGAAGGAGATCATATAAATGATGGATCGATTTGAACCTGATTTAAAGAAGATAAGAATTGGTTGTTGTAAATTGGTTGTTATAAATGCTGTAACTTGAAGATATTATCAACAGTATTATATTCGCTTTTCTTATCATCCATTCACTTTCACAGTTGAAATCATGAATTAATCTAAAATAACCCACCATTGAAAACCTGGAAGCACTGAACGTTCGTTTCGTCCTAGTATGGGACTCCTCAAAATTGACACATCTACAACCCCATAGGCGACATTCGAACCCAGGAATATCGATCCAGAGCGTGAACGCCTAAACCTTAGACCACTGATCGTGGATACGCACTATTGAAGAGTCCCATACTAAAACGAAACGGCCATCCACTACTTCCAGGTTTTGAGTAGTGACCTATATAGCTTATGTTGACTCATGATTTCAACTATGAAAATACTACATTCCACACAAATCCCCATACTGATATATAAACTTGTTGGTTAAAAGGTGAGTACTTTTACCATTAAGCATCTGCTCCACTAATAAGACTTGCTAGGTTCTCTAATGGAACAAAAAATTGGCATATGTTGAACGCTTTTACAGCTATGCTGATTATTACACTCTCATCTCACATAAAATTTACGAACGAGAATAGAAATAAATACAGTGAGCTACCATTTTTAAATTGCTTAGTTAAAAAAAATCTAAATGGAGCCCTAAATCTAACCATCTATCGAAAATCAACGCACACAAAGCGTTATATCGACTACAATTCAGCACATCCATTTAGTGCAAAAATCTCTCTAGCCCTAAATCACTTTAGAAGAGCCAAAACGATTGTTATATCTGACGAGGATAGACAAGAAGAACGAAAGTATATAATCTTAGCCTCAGTCATCTAGAGGTTATACATCCCCGTGAAACCGCAAGTACTGAGTGTGATTTTCTGTGGCGGGGTCGTAGATGCGTATTGCTAAGGAGTTTCATTCCGGACGTCTTTAAATTGTTTCTTCAACCATTCATAATTATTTCCATGAAAACTCAAATTGATAATATTACTTTACACATCACTGCCTGGTTGGTATATTTTTATTGCAAAACACATACATATATATTGGTGTAAAGATAATTGACAAGAAATATTACTTCGCTCTGTTCGTCTTCCACTACAAGTCAGCTTAAAGTCCATACAACAACATTACTGTCCCTTAGTGAAGCTACAGTTAGTTTCAAAATCATATGACCCACACATATTTTCAAGATACTGACAACTTCGTTTGACAGAGCTTTTCATTTACGTTAACTAAAGCAATTCATTAACGTGAATATAAAATTGTCACAGAAGCCATAATAAACTTAAACAAAATGTCTCCATATTATCACACCTAGTATACCCTTTATAATAGATACAAGATATTTGTTAAGATTTCCCATTGATAAACTCTTTCCATTGATATACATTATACAAGTAAAAACTGTATTACAGGAGTTGAAAATATCAAAGGAGAGAGATAAGACCGAGTTCAGTGCATAATAAGCATTTATTATATCCCAATGAGTAGAAATATTGTTAGCCCCCAAATGCCCTGGTACGGCCGAGAGTGGGGAGAGTCCGCTCTCCCTCTCGAAATACTCTCACATGGCCACGTATATATAGCCTCTGCCAGGGAAGTCCTACTCACTGCCTTCTCGTGGCGAGGGTGTTATTTACGAAAATGAGAGGATGAAAAGCGAATGTCCGGCGCTTTAACCGGATTCCAAACCAATGGTGCACATGGGCTCCAGTATCCTAAAGGAACAAATGGCGTATGAACCAATCGTTGGTCACCGGCTACCATGGGACTGCATCTCCTCACGATGCTCCACTGCCTTGTGGATCAGACAGTCAGGTCAAAGGCTCGGGGTATGGCCCCCTAAGAAAACCACCTGCTTCGGTTTGGGCACCCGAGCAGTATCACAGCCCTCACACAAATCAATCGAGATTCGTGTGGCGCATATGTATTTGGTGCCTCCTTGTACCAATACCTATGTGTTAAAATAAATAAATAAATAAAATAGAAATATTGCATTTTTGACGTTTCGTGACTTAGTGTAAGCCACTTCTTCACAGTAAATACTAACTCTTTACTCCATGCTCAATTTATTTGAAACTACCAAGTTCAACCTTGGTATTGATACCTATAGAGTTCAGTGCAACGGTCAACAAGAACATAAAAGGATTAAAAGTTCGCATTTGTTTCAAATAATTGATGAATGAAACATTTAATGCCTTTCAATTCAAACACAGTTTAGTCACTGTAACAAGTGCCATAACAAAACATGTTGACTTAAACGGTACTAAAAACAACACCACAAATATACTTCAGTTACTATTAATGATCACAGAATTGCCTATAATTTTCTATTTGGATATATTAGTTTGCTTATTAACTAGTATTCACAGAAAGTATTTGAAGATTCTGCGAATAATTGATTGAAATAAATTTCTTGGCAATAAAGAATTTCTACAAGCCTCCATGATTGGAACATCAAAGTTAGTTTCTTCCACTGATGTAATATATAACAACTTACTAATTATCAACTACACAGTAATGAAGTGAGTTTACAACCAATGTATTTGTATGAATTTTCTGAGTTTATAGTAGAGAGATTATGAAAATAAGAACGCTTGTAATTTTTGTCCATATTACTTCGTGTGACTTATAGAATTCCTGATCAATGCTTGGAGCAGTAATAATGAAAATCCCATAATGAGTGGGACAGATAAAAAATAGAATATACAAAATTGTTGTCGAAAAACATTACTCATATTAAGTCTGAAATCCCTAACACACGTTAAAACTGAACATTTTGAAGGTAGCCATAGTCAAACTTTTGTCTACATAAGCATACACATATAATAGGATATACACAGAGAAAAAACATAACACTAACATCAGCAAATACACTCCTTAGCTACGTTCTTTCTGTTTTATAGTTTTGATGTGAAGTGAGACAACTCGGATAAATACAATTTTTTGCCAGGTGTATTACCAACTGACACAAATTGTCACTATTGTACTAAGCTTTCATTTACTAATAAAAGAATGCTTTTGAGCTGTTCACCATGTCGAAGCACATGAACAACTGATATCTAAGTAAAATGTGGTTTTATGCTAAATGCTCTAAGTTGTAAAAGAAACTGGGTGGTCGTAATATAATAAATGCAAATACCTTGAAACTAATTTCATTGAGTGTAAAGATGTATACTTGACGCAAATACTATTTCCAGTAAAGCTTTGCCTCAGATACTCTAACAAACCATCTCAGAGATATTTGTTACCATAATCAACAAACGATCGCTTTTGCCAGAATTAAAGATTTTATGGCTGTTTTTTCATTGAAAATCCACGTTTAGCATGTTGTGGCAGACCGAGGTAAGACTTAAATCGTAGTACATTGTTCTTCCCTAGAATTTCATGACTCGATAAAGATCAATGTTCTTGAATGTATCACGATGGTAAACATCGAATCGATAGCCGGAAGTCTAAAGCTGATAAGTTGGTTATCTGCATGAAAATAACAGAATCAAAATTATGCAGACAGCTGACCCATAGAGATCAGACCTTTCAATACAACAGTACAAAATAACGCTTAGAATCAAAAGATAGTGTCGATTTAGACCCACAGCTTATGCTTGAGGTAGAGTCGGACATATATCTGAAAAAATGACTGGAGATGTTAGATGATCTTTGTCAAAGTCGATCATGATAAAGGACACATATCCACTTTCCTTCCTAAATTATGTGTCAAATAAACTATTCTGTTTACTTATTTCTTTCTTCTTTTTCCTGTTTAATTGCTCACTAATGTTAACCACATTATCTCATAGGACCCATCTAAATTCTCTGAGATTTTTCACATTGCATTAAACACAGTAACTTCAGTGACCAATATGATAGCTTTATCTAGCCTACTTAGGGCTTATATTAACATATTCAGGAGGTGGTCTATGTGAGGAATCAAGAGCCGAGAATCAGCACTGCGACTTCTGTCCACGCAGCGTTTGTGGTACATCTTATTTTGACCTTAAAATATGTGGATCTACAACTTCACCAATTCACTTAGTTCCCCTCTCAACCTCGCAATGAATTATGATTTTGAATAAACGTCTAATCAAATAGCACATTCCCAAACCATCTGCCTTGGACATCTATGTGGTAGAATAGGTAGTATTGTTATGTGAGTTCACCAGGACAGTCAATTACTCCGGTGACAACAAGTACCAATCCAGCAATCTGGGGAATTATAAACACCAAGGACTTGAGTAATTTTTATCAGATAGGTTTTAACTAACATACACGGTCATTGTGGATATTTATCCAACTTTGCTCATTAACACAGTTGCACTAATTTATACTGATTATAATATAGGTTAAGTGGAATAATGAGCAATCATCCACAACACACTAAATAATAAGAAAGATGCAAAACACTAAACTTCTATTTCTGTAGTACATTTAAATTAATTTTTCATAATACATTGACAGTCAAATGTGAAACGTTTGGGAAGATAGAAGTAATATAATAACTCTCAAGTTAATATTACTAATAAATACTGTGCAACTTGTAGCTTAAAGATGTGAGTTATCTACTTTATGCTACAATGAGAACTGAGGG